GGGACCCTGGGTGATTCAGATGTGTTTGGGATCCAGGAAGACAGAATTTAGAGGACTAAAATCATAGAATGTTGGACTTGAAATTTAAAGATAATAAAATACAATCAATTTCACAAATGAGGCCCAAGGAGATTAATTGACTTTACTAAGGTTACCTAGCTAGCAAATCTCACAGCCAGGATTTGAACACAGATCCTCTCACTCAAAATCCAAAGCTCTTTCTATAGTACCAAGCTATAAGATGGGGGATGGGAGGTAAGGAGGGGACTGATGAGATTGAAGCAAGTGGAAGGAACTGGGGAAAATAGGGAAACTAAGGGAACTTTACTCATGAAGGGCTGGAGGAGCTAAGAGGACTAAAGAGAATGAGGAACTTGAGGAAGTTGAGACACATGAGGAACCTAGGGAGTAGAGCCTGGCCCCCCTTGCCTGTAATGTTCTCCCTCCTCCCCTCCCCCCCCCCCCCCCTCTTGGAATTCTATCTTCTTACAATGCTTAATTCAGGTAGGATCTCCTATATGTGGCCTTTCCTCAGCCCTGCCCCTGAAATGAACTTGTATTTATTTTGTGTAATATTTTGTACGTACCTGAACACATTGTTTCCCTCAATAAAGGGTAAGCTTCTTAAGGAAAAGGATTATTTCATTTTTGTCTTTGTATCTTCAGCACCTGCACACTGCCTGGCACTTAATAGCTGTACATTGACTGAATAATTAGCTTGAGAAACAGAGGGAAATGAAGCCGTGGGTGACTGTGGGGCTTACGGAACTGTAAAAGTCAAAAAAGACAGAAGGAGCTTGCCCGCTTTAAATCTACGATCTTGTGAGTCTAGGAACTGAGGGCACTGAAGAGATTTGAGGCAGGGGGCCAATGGCACTGAGGAGTTTCCTGGATCTGTTGCTGCTGAAGGGATTGACAGAGTTAAGCAGATTAGGTGTATTCCATATAGGCATGACTATCCCTTTAGCTCAGGAAATCTTAATGTTTCTTGTGTCCTGGGCTCCTTCTCAGATCATTGTTTTGTTGTCTACATTAATAATTGAAGAAAATGCTAAATTTCAGTTAGAGGTAGGTGACTATAAACTTATGTTTTTCCCTATCCAAGTTCACAGACCTCCGGAAATATGTCCATAGACCTCCAAAGGGACCCCAGGTTAAGAATCTTTACTTTAACTCTCCAGGAAATCTAGTCTGTTCCCCTCTATGGAACCATGAAGAGCAGAATAGGTTTGTGGAGAAAAAAGGGGGAGCTGAGGAAGAAGAGAGGAGGGGACAGCCAGGTTGGAGAGTGGTAGCATCAGTGATCAGAGGAATAGGAGGGATCCCTACTGGGGATGGTGCAGAGGTCTAGGTTTGGATTTGCCAAGACCGGTCTCCCTGTGGTTGATCAGAAGGCTTCATGTGACAGCTCAGGAGGTAAAAATAACATACAGGAAAGTTACAGGAAGGAGAGTCCGCTATTTATGGCAAGCAGTGTCTGCTTGTCCTCAAAGGGCTGAGCTCCTTCGTTTTCTCATGTCGTCCTTCATATCTTGAGCTGCCCAGCCTTTCTGTTCTTTTCTTATCTCTGGCACTGAAGCTCCTGCTCATCCCTATCCTTACCCACTCTCCCTCCCTCCCCTTTCTACAGATAGGGAAGATGCAGGTATACAGAGGTGATAACTATGGGTCTCTAAGAACAGATTCACAGAAGGAACTACAACTTCTTGTCTCCATCTCAGTCTCCTTTTGCTTCACGAGGGTAAGGTCTTTATTGAACATGCCCTGTGTCCCTTTTACTGTCCCTCACCCCTTCTCCTACCCCAAGACCTGTCATAGTCACTGACTTCTAATGTTTGCAATCATACATACATACACACACACACACACACACACACACACACACACCCCTGCATTCCCTGATTTTCTCTCCAGGTATGATGAAGACTCTCAGTCCTGCAGTCTCCTTTCTCTCTTTGTAGTTCTTTCATTTCTACCCTCCTCCTTGAGATGTCCTCATTGGCCTGAGGGAAAAGTGTGTTTGTATTTGTTTCCAGACCCTAGTTGGATGGGAGGGAGGTGGATTCCGTGAGGGAAGGCTCACTGAAGCCTGAGGGTTGAGTCTGCATAAGGTGTCTTCTTTCCTTCCCATTACCCTACAAATCATTCATTACCTCATGCTCTGTCAACTTTCCCAGTCCTTTCTCTTCATTTCCTCCTTTTGCCCCTTTTCTCCCTCCCAATGTTCTTATAATCCCATCTGGAGTCACTCATTTTTTGCTTGTAAGACATTTGGAAAACCAGTTCTTGGAGGGTCTGGACCAACTGTGATTATAGCACCATGGTCTCTGGTGTCCTTAGTTGGAAGCCTTGCATGGTGGGCAAATAGCCGGACCATTGCCTGACCTAAGAATGCAGAAAAGGTTAGTTCTGAATTCTGGTTTTTCAAGACTTTCAAATCACTTCCTTGGAGTAGAATAGGAGTCCCTGGTGACTAGTAACAATTGCCTTAAGTGTAGAAAGAGGATGGATTCCACAAACCAGAAATTACAAAAAGAATATTGTGGCAGGTCAAGACATAGTTTCTAGTACAATGAAATCTGAGAGTCTAGGCCAGATGTGGGAAAGGAGTCTGAAACTTGGGTCTGAAGTCAAGAAAGTCACCCCTGAGGAAAGGAAGAAAATACCATGAATGGAAGCACTTGGCATTGGAAAGATGATGACATGTTTCCTTTCCTCCATTTGAGACAACCTTATAAGGTAGTAGGGTACTCTCCACACCCTCTTCTCCCCCTACTGTGTTGGGCTGCCAAACTGTTTTTTTTTTTTTTCTGGAAGAAGAGGGAGACAGAGATAGGAAATGGGAATGCTTAAAGGAAAAGACAAAATAAGGAAAATATAGGGTGAAAGGAAGATAGTGGGAAGAGAAGGTTGTAGGAAAAGTATCTTGTTTTTACTCCCCGCAGCTGCCTCCATCTCTCCACTCACACGGTACCCACCTCAGTTCAGGTCCATGTCACCTCTTGCCTGGACTCTTAATTGGTCTTCCTGATTCATCTCTTCCCCTCTAATGCATCCTCCACATAGCTACCAAAATGACTTTTCTAAAGCACATCTACATATGTCACTCCCCTACTCAATAAACTTCTTTGGCTCACTAATATTTCTACTGTTAAATATAAACTCTTTGGTTTGTTATTCAAAGTCTTTCACAAGTTGGCCCCAATCTCCCATCTCCACCCATGCCTTTACACTGGTGGTTCCTCATGCTTGAAGTCCACTTCTTCCTCATCTCTGCCTAGTTTCTTTCCAGGCTGAATTCAAGGTGTCATGTCCCAAATTATCTCATATCTATTTTGTATCTAGGTACGTGTTGTCTGTCTCAGGTAGATTATATGGTCCTTGGAGGCAAAAATGATTTCACTTTTGTCTTTGTATCCTCCCCTACTCCCCCTGCATCTAGCCTATTGCCTAATACATAATAGAAATACTTAATAAACACTGATTGATTGATTTCAGTATACCCTATATCACAGGGGCCTTGGGGGACACTCTCCCACAAGGAAGCTGCAGTTCTAGTATCAAGCAGGTTTGACCTCTAAAGAAATAGGAATAGTCTTGTCTTGTACTCTCTGGTTTATTACACCTTACCCCAAATTAGAACACCAGGGAAAATATTTTAACCAAAGTTTAAGTATGGTTCATGTCAAGGGTCATCACAAAAGGCATGGACAGGATCATTTCTAATTTCTTGACTTCTCATAAAGTCATTAGCTTCCATTTGCTCCATTCTAATTTTGAAGGAAGTATTTTCTTCAGTGAGCTTTTAGATTTCCTTTTCCATTTGGCCAATACTGCTTTTTAAGGCATTCTTCTCCTCAATGGCTTTTTGAACTTCTTTTGAATTTGGGTTATGCTATTTTTAAGGTGCTATTTTTTTCAGTATGTTTTTTGGGTCTCCATTAGCAAGCTGTTGACTCATTTTTCATTATTTTCTTGCATCAGTCTCATTTCTCTTCCAAAATTTTCCTCTACTTCTCTTACTTGCTTCTCAAAATCCTTTCTGAGTCTTCCATGGTCTGGGACTGATTCATATTTTTCTTGGAGGTTTTGGATGTAGGAGCTTTGACTTTGTTGTCTTCTTCTGGTTGCATGTTTTGATCTTCTTTGTCACCAAAGTAAGATATTATAGTCTGACTCTTTTTGTGCTCCTTACTCATGATCCTGGCAAATTACTTGAGTTTTAAACTCTTTGTTAAGGTAGGGTTCTGTTTCCATTGTGGAGGATGTACTGGTCCAAGCTTCAGGGGTTTTGTGCAGCTGTTTTCAGAGATACTTCTAGGGACCTGTAAATTTTCAGTTCTTTCAAGGTGGTATGATCAAAGGTAAAGTGTTTACTCCTTTCCTGGCCTGTACTCTGGTCTATGGGTAACCACAAGCACTGTTTTCTGCCTTGGAACTATGAGGAAGATTCCCTCTCCCCCGCCACTACAAGCTCCCCCAAGCCAGCACTCCTCCTCAACCCAGGGCCGCCACCCAGAACTGTGACCCAGATCTAAGCAGGAGCAAAGCAAGAGAATCCTGCCTTAGCACCAGCAATGAGATCCCTACAATCCGTCTCTGATCATCCACATGATTCCTCCTCTGTCTGTAGGCTGAGAACTTTGGAAGCAGTGGCGCCAGGACTGGGGGTAACCCATGCTCTTCTCTCTCTAAGGTCTGACGGACCTTTCCCACTGACCTTCTAAGCTGTCTTTGGCGTTTGTGGGTTGAGAGGTCTGGAAACTGCCACAACTGCAAGTGATTCAGTCTCTTGAGGCCTGCTCCAGGTTCGCTGAGTCCTGGTCTTTGCCTCTGTGGCCCATGCTGAACTTTGCTTCTCTGCCAGCCTGGCACAGTAGACCTTTCCTATCAACCATCCAGGTTGTCTTGGGCTGTAAATCAGTTTCACTCTGTCTTTTTGTGTGTTCTACTGCTCTAGAATTTGTTCAGAGTCATTTTTAGAGGTATTTGGAGGGGTTTGGGGGAGAGCTCAAGCAAGTCACTGCTTTTACTCCGCCATCGTGGCTCCACCCCTCTGACAGGATCATTTCTAATAGTTTCTCAATGTGCAAAGTCATAAATATCAGGTTTAGGACAATTATTTCTTTCTTCTTCCACAAAAGAAATACCTGAAACACAGAAGACACAAGCACATATTGACAAATACTTTAAACATGAAACAGTAACCCATGACAAAGGATTCACAGGCACCCATCAATAGATACTTAAAGGACTCGTGTTATCCATCATCTTTATTATGTTCTCCTAGAAGGAAAAGACATCTAGAAAATTTATGGGTCTGTCAAACAGGCATTTCACTTTCAGGTTGGATGAGCATCTCAAACAAGATACCTATCTTTTGGCCAGCCAGGCATGCATGGCTCAATCCTCCTGTTGGTGGTCATGTCTTCAGAGAAGAAGCATCACTGTAGGAAGTGCCTCCTGCCAACAAGTACCCAGAACATTCAATGACTGTGAACCACCTGAATTCATGAGGCGGTCCTCATCCATCTCATGATTGCTGCTCCATCATCTGTGTCCATGGAAAGAAACACAAAGCCAAACCAAAAGAAAAAGCAACTAAGGACTGGAGATTTGGTCTCAGGCAAGCACATGTACCCACTGCCACCTGCATATAATCACTATAGCTGCTGCTGGGAAGGAAGTAAAAGGAAAGATCCCCTTTCCTCTTCCTGTTGAAAGTCTGAAAGAGCCAGAGCAATCCCAAGAGATAAGTTCAAGGAGGGAGGGGGAAGAGAAAGAAGGTTGTTTCACTTTTTAGGCCTTCTAAACAGATAAGTCCTTCTGGTTCAGTGGCCAATCCTTTGTAGAAGAATGTTCCTCCCCTTCCCTAATACCATGGGGACCAAGGGATCAACTGAGAGACTCTGATTGTGGATGCCCTTTAGCAAGGCACCAGAGCACATGTGTCATGGGAAGTGGCCTGATCTTAGGGTCCACTGGAACGAGCCAGAGCACAGGTTCAGTTCACAAATATAATCACATCTGTGATATAAAACCACTTTAGTATCTCATCTCCAGACCCAACCAAGCCATTGCAGTCCATCACACACACAGTACAAGGAATGACTACTTGACTTCTGGATCAAGTATTGCATCAAAGACTGATACTTCCCAAACTATTTCAATCAGAGAACACTGAACTTTGGAATATATAAATGGGATATGCAAATTCTGATCCTGAGGGGATGAGAGGCCAGGAGCCCTGTGGAATACATCATTCCTGATAAGGGAGGCCAGGCTGATAATGAAGCTCTGGACCAATTCTTAACAGCAGTACTGGGGTTTACTGCGGATTTTAATTAAATGACAGACCAGTACTGCATAAAATGATAGAACTGCTATTATCTAGAATATTATGAGAAGAATGTGAGGAGAAGTTCAAGGCCTCAAATGAAAGAAGGAGGGTAGAGTAGGAAGATGAGGAAGCAAGGATAACAAGGGGAGGGCAGAAAGGGGACATCTGCCACACCTCCATGCTTTGTTACCTTTATTTTTTGACTGTCATTGCCATTGGGACTAAGGGCCTCAGTTTACCATCCTCTCCCTCTTTCCCTTTTCCCAGCTGTCTCTCCACACTCCAGATCATCGATGTTTTGGGGTTTTTTCCCCACTGTTTATTGAGAAGGAAAAAGTGAATATACAGATTTATGTTATATAGATCAGGGAAATAATTTTGTAATACATAGGCCATTTATAATATGCAGACCAGGAAAAGGTCATTAGATATAAGCACAAAGAAAGAAACATACTGCGTCCCAGATGGGGAAATGTACCCCATCTAGATCTAGCTTGGCCTCTGCTACTCTCTCTTGGCACAAAGAGATTGTCCCTCCTTGGCCACCCATGCAAGCATCATTTATCTCATTAGGATGACCCCTAAAAAGATTTGGAATCCCCTTCTTTACCACAACCCTCTACCAAGATGGTGCTCATTCTCTAGCCACAAGCTCATTCTCAGAAACTAAGGAAATTTCTTAATGACATTGATGAGGTCTCCACTGGCATTCTACCTTTATTGTTACTACATAGTTTAGCTAACTGGATGTCTTATCCTTCCTCTATCGATAGAAAAAGGAATTACATACAATTAAGGTTTTCCCCCCAACACATCTAAAAGAAAATACATCTCCCCTCCCCAAGATATACAAAATGGCCCTTAATACACCCAACAAAATTTTATCTTTCCTGCAGCCACCTCTGTGAAATCTAACATCATTGTCAGCAAATATGCTCTGACCTATGACTGAAAAATACCTTCTAGGATTTGGGAGGAGGCTGCTGTGAGTGACGAATGTGTGCAGAGAACAGAACAGGGAGCAGCAGGGGCCACAGGGACTCAGGAATGGGGCAAGTGATTGGGAGGTCCAAAGTATTTGACTGTAGCCCCTTTCTCTCTATGTAAAGGTAGGTCTCTCTACCCTTCCCTGAGCAGGGCCAAAGATATCCCTGCCATTTTGGGGGATGCGCCTATAGCCTACTTTCTTTTGCTTGGGGAGGAGATTCCTACAATCATTTGTGGAATACCTAGTGCTGTGAAAGGACAGGCTCTGCAAGTCATACAGCCATGGATTGGTTTGCTGTGTTTCAGGTGAGGAAAACAAGTTGCAATGGATAACCCAGCTGGGCATTATGAAGAGGAGTATAACTGGTATCTGGATTCTGATATTGGGCTTCTTTCCATTATTTCATACTAAACATAGGAGGTAAGCATGATGGAAAGTTGAGGCAGAAAATTCTCCTTTAGTCCAATGGGTCAGTTTGAGCAAGGATGGTACAGGATAATATCATTCACTGCCTCCTAACTCCTAGTCATTTGACCCAACGGTACCCTCAGCAACCATCAGATAAAGACCATCCCAAGGATCATTTATTTCCCCCCGCTATAACATCAAACACCATAATTACCTGTTGGCTCCTGAGACACAAGAACATTCTCATCCCTCTTTAGATTTTCATTCATTGAATATTCATTCTGCCAATGGTGAACACTCAGCAGCAGAGTAAAGAGATCAGAACTATGTATCAGAAATAGATGTAAAGGCCTATACTAGGGTGAAGACAATAGGAGTAAAATGTAGGAAGGGAGATAAGAAATTTCAGAGACAGAATTAACAGAACATTAATGATGGCTTCTGGGGATGAAGGGAAGGAAAAGAACCAAAGAAGATGAAACAGTTTCATACACATCGGTAAAGGAAGCTGGGAGGAAGTAGGGATTTTGAGGGGAAAGATGTCAAGTTCAGCTTTCGGAACATGGAGTATCAGTCATCAGTCAATTATTTTCAGTCAACAAGTGCAAGAAAGAGCCTGACCCCTCTCTTTGGGGCCACGTTCTGCTGGAAATGAACTCAATCTGATCAAGACTGAGCTAGAGCCCCTTAGTGGAAGAAGGCATCTCTATCAACACATGGCAAACAACAGACCTGATGCTGGACCAGGAAGCTGGGGATGCCCTGAGCTCCAGGCTCACAGGAGGACTCAGTTCACACCCTTCCCCATAAAAGGGTATAAGGCTTTTTCTTCTTGTCTGTCCGGCTTTTTTGCCCCAGAGGAAAACAATGAAAGCTTCAGTTTAGCTCATGTCTGGGGTATCCCCAAAAGAAATTATAGAGGGAATTAGTCTGAAATGTGGATCAGTATAGGATAGCTATTTGTTTCTTCCACACAAAAGAAATATTTAAAAAACAAAAATATCATAGGTGTACATTGGCAAAGACTTAAAACATTAAAAGTAACACATAATTTCAATTATGTTCTCTCAGGAGCTTGATATTTAAATGAGCTATTTCACTTTCCACTTGACCCTGCACCATCCAAATAATTCCCTCAAGGCCCATGTCTTCTGATAAGTCTGTCAAGGTTTGGCCTCATCCTCCTATCACTGGTAATCTTCTGTGAGCCAAATGTAGCTGCAGAAAACTCTTTCTGCTGCCACTCAGCTCTAGCTAAGGGCCCCAGGACCTCCTAAAGGCCCATCTCAGGATCATTATCAAGCAGTTTTACTCAGGGATAGAAACATGAAGCAGAAGGATCACAAGCCCTCCTCATCCTTTCATGAGAATTCACAGAAAGAGAGAGTTCTAAGCCACAAGTTCAAAAGAGAGGAAGAAGGGAGCGACCATGGAAGTTGTCTCTCATTTTAAAGTCTATTGAATGGACTGCTTTTTCTTGTTCAGTGGCCAGTCCTCTTTGAAACAGCCCTCTGCCTCTGTTGTCAACAAAAGGACTATGGGAGTGCTGCATCATTCCAAAACATTAAGTCTTTCAATACAGAGTATGTGTTTCAAAAATTTCTGAGCGAACTCAGCTCCCCATGCTTCAGTGAAGTGTTCTCTAGCCAGAGTAGATCATAAGAGGCCCCTGATTATTCCCAATGAAGTAATTCTACTTTTGTAGCACCCCACTTGGGGCTCATGCCCAATTCACACCACCAATGTCCACTTGGCTCTCCAGAGGGGTAGCTGTTTCTACAGGCAGCTAGGTGGCACAGTGGATAGAATGGTGGGCCTGAAGTCAGGGAGACTTAAGTTGAAATCCAGCCTCGGACAGTTACTAGCTATGGGACCCTGGACAAGTTACTTAAGCTCTATATACCTTGGTTTCCTCAACTACAAAATAGGGATAATAATAGCATTTACTTTCCAGAGTTGATGTGGGGATCAAATGACATAATATTTGTAAAGCATTTAGAACATTGTCTGGCACATAGTAGGTTATCTATTAAGTACTTATTTCCTGCCTTTATCTCTTCTCCAGAGTTCTGAGGGGAACCTTGTGGGTTTGGATAAGCGGCTCATCTTGTCACGTCTTCCCTCGCCCCAACCTATGACCACATGAACTGGTTTCCACGCTACTTACTCCCTCAGCCCAGCTAATTATGGCCAGTCACATACCAGAGGCTACTTTATCAAAGAACATAAACAGGAAACAGAGAGTCACAGGGAATTTGTCTACCAGGAGAATAATCCATGGCACCAGAGACCACCAGTCCAAGGCTCCTTCAGAGACTGTCCCTAATAACTGTCTTGTGCAACCACTCTGCTCTTTCCTGAGCCTTTCTTTTCCCTTTGCAATAGCCTTTGACCACAACTCATCCTCTCTTTTACAACAGGGCTGCTAATAGTTCAGCCTCCATTTGAAGAAGTCTTTCACCTCTCTAGACCCAGATACTGTTCTAGTTCCGCCTACTCAGGGAGTGTCACCAAGTCCTGTCACCTGACCCACCCCTACCCAATGGTCTCCTAATGTTTTCAACTCACTGCCTTGGCTTTCTATACTTTATTTTTACTTTCACTTTATGTAGAACACAGAATCTACCCCAACTCGAGCAGACCTCCCCTAGGTGTCAAGGTAGGCAATGTCACAAATACCATGTGTGAACTTCCATGTCTCCTTCTGTCTTTTGGTTGTTTTTTCTGTGGCAAAATGTGTAGATTGGGTGAATGTGGAGTGGAATGTAGTGGTGGAGTGGGAGGGACTGTTGGACTTGATTGTCCCCAAGGTCCCATCACTCTTTGTGACTCCACAATACTATGATTTCTCACTCCCTCCCCTCTGGAAATGGACCAGAGAACCTGATGGCTTGGGACATGTCTTCCTGGGAGATCCATGGGGTCTGCTGGAGCAGGGGGGAGTGTGTGCATGAATTTGGGAGGGAGGGAGGGATACCGGTGAGTGGAGCATAGATGAGGTTGTGGACAGAGAGTTGGAATCAACCAGATCTGGGCTCACATCCCACTGGCGACACTAACTCAGTGACTATGGGAAAATCCCTTAAACTTTTGATACTCAAGTTTCCTCATCCATAAAATGGGAATAATAAAACCTGTAGTACCTACTTCTCAGAATTCTTACGAGATTTATTTGAAGTGATGTCTGTAAAATGTTTGGTAATTTTCCAATTGTGATACAAAAAGTTTATCACTATTATTATTGGAGAGAAAGGACCAATGATTAAACTTTTCTCTTTGTGAGATCCAAGGCCATCCAATATCAGACATCTCTAAATGGATACAAAATACAAACTCTGACCAGGTCCCCAGTAGACCCTGTAACTCTTTAGGCTTCTGAATGGACAAGAGGCCTCAGGAAAACAGGGCTAAAGGAATTTAAGAGTTGAAGGCACTTCAGGACCAAGGGGACTCGGGGAATGAGAGACTGAAATAATGGAGGGAGAGGGGTGCAGTCCAGTTTCTGAAAGTTCAGAGCAAGAAAGGAAGGATAATGAGTATGTGGAAGGAGCCCTAGAGAGGAAGGAATTAACTAGGACTAAGGAATAATCAGTTCAGTAGCAAATTGCCACACCAGTCACACACAGTTTTCAGAACAACCCTAGGAAGTAAATGCTATCATTCCCCCATTTTACAATTGAGGGAACTGAGGCAGACAATCAAGACAATTAAGAGCCAGAATAATTTGGGTTTAAAGGAATAGTCAAGTAACTCTATTTGAATCCCAATGGGTTTTATCAAAGCCTGGTTTATCAGAGCTATATTTCAAGAAATCATGAATGGAGGCAGCTAGCTGGTGCAGTGGATAGAGCACTGGCCCTGGAGTCAGGAGGACCTAAGTTCAAACCCGGCCTCAGACAAATAACACTTAATAGCTGTGTGACTCTGGGCAAGTCACTTAACCTCAGTTGCCTCATCAAAAAAAAAAAGTTATGAATGAAAACTACGTGAGACAAAAGAGTTAATTGTCCCAGTTTGTAAAAAGAAAAAAGATAGAATAAATAGAAAAGAAAAAAAGTCCAACCCCTAAACCCCAAGATACTTTGTGAAGTATAAGCAATCAAAACCACATTTAAGGATATGACTCTCTTCATGGACAGAGGGAGAAGAGAAGGAAAATGGGGGAGGGGAAGAAGAGAAAGAGGAGGAAGAGGAGGAGGAGAAGGAGGAGGAGGAGGAGAAGGGAGGAAATAGCAGCATTGCCCAAATGGAACTGCTCTGTTGGGTCCCCAGGGCGGGCAGCTCTTACTACTCACAGATTGTTGTTCTTCCTTTGTTCTCAAAGAGGACCAGCACCATCAGGAGGGTGACATCTTGACTTGCAAGTGAATTGGAGTTCAGTGACACAGGGCTCTGCAAAGTCATCAGCCTCATTCTCTCCTCCAGAGTCGTCAGAGTCCAGTGGCCAGACATAGGTCAGGACAACTGGCAATGGCCCTACCTTCTTGACAAATTTAGCCACCAAAGAAGAGAAGAGATAGCCAGGATGGATGGTCAAGTGAGGGGTTTTGAGGGATGGGTGTTTGTAATCAATAAAGAAAGAGCCAGTAGACAGAGAGAATTTGAAGATACATGAGAGAGTGAGGATAATAGAAAGGAGCAATCTGCTGAACTAGAACAGGATCACTTCTGCATGTAGAGAAGTTTGCCTTTGCAAGGAAGAGGATGGAGATGGTAGCAGAAGGCGTCTGAGTGGTGTGATATGAGGAAAAGGAGTGAAAAGGGAACTATCCAACAATGACCTCAATTTTTTTCAGTAAAATATGAGTCAAGGTTCTCAGTTAGGAGGGTGGGGGAAGGGGGAGCCATGGGATGTTTGAAGAAGGATTAAAAATAGGTTTGGAAGACCCCCTGTGGAGAGTGGGGTAGTGAATTGATATGGGAATTATAAAAGGATTGCCTTGCTTAAGCCCCAGTTGAAGCTATATAACACAAATTTGTAGTGAACCTAGTCAGCACAGTTTCATAATTTTGTCCAGCTTCATTCAGCAGCAGTGTGTAGCAGACAAGGAAGCAAAGAGTGGGAGTGATCCAAAGCTGAGGTATGGAAGGGCAAGATTTACAAGAGGATGAGGGGGTAAGGGACTCAGGAGAAGAGGACAATGTAGACTTAAACCAATTCACCAAGAGGTCAAGATGGGGAAAGTAGGAAAGTATAACTAGTGGAGGGGTGATTGCCTGGGAGAGAACTGAGGGGCTGGGAGACTGGGGGTCATGATGTGAATGAAGAATAAGGTTAGGGGTTGCAAGGCAGAAGGAAAGATGAAGTGATAATAGATTATGATTAGGTAAGGGAATTTCAAAGCTTGTCAGCACAGAAGTGGTGTGTCTGTGGAAGTAGCAAGATTAAGGGTATGATCATATTTGTGGGTGTCTTCAATGGGATAGAGGAGTACATGGGGAATAAATAAGTTGAGGAACTAGGAGTTTAGGGTGTCTAAGGAACTATCAACATATATGTTGAAGTCTCCTACTGGGAAGGCAGGAGTTAAGGAGAGACTGTGACTCAAGCACTGAACTCATGAAGTAAAGAAGGGCAGTGCCCTGCAGGTCTGTGGACAGCAACTACCAGAAATGATTGGGTGGTAAATATGGACTGAGTGAACCTTAAAGAAGGAGAGATTACTGAGTGATAGTAGTAGAGAGAAAATCTGGAGACAGAAATGGGGAGCAAGGAGTATCGCAACTCCCCCATCTTGATCAGTGAGTTGGAGAAATAAGCGAAAGTGCAGCCAGTGTGGGAAAGGGTGGCCAGGGAGATTCTGTTATCAAGAGAGAGCCAGGCCTCAGTGAGACCCAAAAGATAGAAGGAGAGGGAAAGGAAAGGTTTGAAAATAAAAGCAAGTTTGTTGTCTCTGGAGCAGGCATATCAGAGAGCACGGCTGAAAGAGTGGGTAACTGGAGAATGGGTGGAGCTGAGGGGAATGGGAATAAGGGATCAGGCAGTGAGGGACAGAGAATGGGGTTTGAATGATGATCAGGGGTTTAGAATCATTGGGATGGGGGAGGGTTATGACCAGAGCAGAGTTTGTTAATTTTGGGGGAATGAGTTTAGGAAGATTTTCATTTTCCATAGGAAGGAAGGAAACAAGCATTTATTAAGTACCTACCATGTGTGAGACACTCTGCTAAGCACTTTGTAGATATTTCATTTGGTCCTCACAACAACCCTAGGAATAAGTGCTATCATTATCCCCATTGTGCAGTTGAGGGAACTGAGACAGACAAAGGTTAAGTGACTTGCCCAGGGTCACATAGCTAATAAGTGTCTAAAGTTAGACTGGAACTCAGAAAGGCCTGTATCTTCTTGAAAGACTTCAGGTCGGGTCTAGTGCTCTATCCTTTGCACCACTTAGGTGCCTCTGCTCACCTCGAGGATTGGAGTCCCTTAGAGTGGAGTCCTCTAAAAGAGGTTAGGAAAAGGGTGCTTGGAGCTGAAAGAATAATGTTATTGCCCTTCCCCAAGGCAGGAGGCCAGGCTGGAGATCTGGTGGAAAGACCAGCAGTGGGCACACATCTATGGCCTCTGGATCAAAATATCCAAATTTGGACATGATAACTCTAGAGTCCCTACCCTGCTCTTAGAATCTCTTCTATCTGTCAATTAAACCTACTTCTCACATTCAAAGGACACAGTTACTCAGCATACTATGGTCATAATAGTTAACTACACATAGCAAAAATGAAAAGAAAAGCATTAAGTGCTTCTACATGGAGCCCTCTACCCCTCAATCCACTCTCATACTCACAGGTAGTGAATAAGATTAAAGACTGGGGTTGCATGTCTGGGACCTTAGGAAAGTAGTGGAGTTACCTCCCCTTTCATTTCAGCAGCTAGTGGGATTTTCAAAATTTCCCAGGGCCAGCTACTCTAGTCTTGATCTCCATGTAGAGCACTGGTCATGTTCTCAGCTCTTCCTTTCCTAGCCCTTTCACCAGAAGAAAAGCCTTGGACTAAAGCTCCAGCCCCACAGTTCCAATCCTGAAGTGTCAATCTGACTACCAGGGCAGCTTGAAGCCCCTGCCCCATGGAGTAGCTTCAGGGTGTACAAAACCCAAGGGCACAATAGAGATTGCTTTCTTTTATCTAGAGAAACCAGGCTTAACAAAATTACCTTTAAACATTAAAGAATAGTTTAAATGGAACAGGACACTTTGTATTTAAGTCTCTGCCCGAAAGGATGGAAAGTAAGAGGAGAAGAGACAGTGGGAGGAGAAAAAAGACACCTCTTCATTCACCCGGATTCATGGCTGGGGGTGAGGAGGACATCTATTAATGATCAGGCTTATCTTCTACTTTGGTGCTGCTACCCCATCTCCCTGGGGTAGATGAAGACCTTGGCTGCCCTGGTGCAACAACACCAGCTCAACATGCTCAACACCATCTCCACCCTATCTGCCAGAATCAGAGTCTGCCTCTCTATCTCCTTCCTGAAATTCCTGAAAGACTCATTCAAGCCATCTCTGGGGTTGTATCCTTCTCATCTGTTACTTCCCAATATTTCCCTGGGAAGGAAAATGAGCAAAACTCCAAATCCCAGAATTCTCAGAGAAGTTTTAAACTACTTCCCCATGAGATCACCAACACTGCCCTCCTACCCAGAGAGGGATCAGACATGTCATCACTTTTTTGTTTGCTTGTTTCCCAGGGCCTAATTAAGAATGGAGTAGGAGAATCGCTGAAAGCTGAGAGAGGGAAAGTGAGACATTCTGTTCCCTTCCCATAATCTTTCAAGTTGTTCAATTTCTTATCACCTAACAACTTTTCCAGTAAGTAGTCTTCATTCCCTTCCTTTGCCTCTTCTTTCTCTCCGCATGTCTTTACTAACCCATATGGAGCCTCTTTTTTGCTGCTTCTAAGGCTTCAGACAATTGGAGAAGCCAATCTCTGGAGTCCTTCGGCTCTAGAAGGCTTACAAGGCTGCGTGTGATTTTGGCAATGTATGAACCAAGTGAGAGAAATTATTATTGCTCTCTGACATTAATAACCAATTACTATTGGGGAGATCCAGGGTTTTTCCCTTCCTATTTCTTCATTCTTCTTCATTCTCAAATCTCCCACCCAACAGGAGAAGCCCATTGTGTTCTACTTAGGCTTGGGTGGGAGAGGGGAGATCTTTTGTATAGGAGGAGGCTGGGGATGTCATGGGAGTAAGAGTGATATAATCAAAGTCACATTTCCCCTAGCCCCTCATTAGAATAGGTCCCCTTTTTATTATAAATATTCATTCTCCTCAATAATTGTTAACTAATCAGAGTTGATTGCCATCTGTGGAGAACACTCACTCTTCCAAGGCCATATTAGCATCAATAGGGTGCTATGATCCATCTTTGGCTTAGGAGAGATGGCCAAATGACCTTCATTTTGTTAGTTATTCGCTAGACATAATTAATAAAATGATTAATTGCCCAGATATTATGTCTCTCATACTTTTCATACATTACATAAGAATGAGGGAACAGATTTGTTCTGATTTCTGGTGAGACAAGACTTTGAATCCTGTCTCGTGGTGTTGTGTGGTTACTCCTGATTAGGCCCATCTGAGGAGAAAAAAAAAAGCTGTTTTTCCACTCTGAGAGAGTATAAACAGCATGTTGCACCACAGTTCCAAGGGTAACCAAATCCAAGGGGCTAGACCAGTGTGGAAAAGGAGCTTGTAGCTCTGGTCTGAAATTAAGAAAATTAGTCCTAAGCAGGTCTGGGAGAACACACCATGAAAGGTATGTTCTAGGTAAGATGCTGGTTTGTCTTATTCCTCTTCTCCACCTGACACCTCTTACTTATGTAGAGGAGATTCTAATCCCATTTCTTTCTCACTATTGTGTTAGGTTCCAATGCCAATTTTTCAGGTTTCAACACAAGGGGAAAAAGAAAGGAAGTGGGAAGATTGGGAGGGGGAGACAGAAAAAGGGGAAACCAAGGAAGAAGAAGAAAGTAGCAAGGGAGAGGTGTAAAAGAAGCATCAATATGCCCAGCTTCTAGTGAGTCAGCACATACACACACACACACACACACACACACACACACACACACACACACAACACCACCACCACCACCACCACCACCACACAGTTACTATATTAGTAGAACAGGGGAAGTGCCAAGTGAGAACAATTCAATTCAATAAACATTTATTAAGTGTCCCCTATGTGCCAAGCACTGGGCTAATCACTAGGGAAGGAAGGAACAAACAAACAAATGAAAGAAAGAAGGAAGAAAAGAAGGAAGGAGAGGATGGAAGGATAGAGGGAAGAAAGGAGGAAGGGGAAGGAAGGGGAGGAACGGAAGAAGAGGAATGGAAGGGGAAGAAGGAAAAGAGAAAGAAAGAAGGAGGAGAGGGAGGAAGGGAAGGAGGGAGAGAGGGAGGGAGCAAGGGTGGGAGAAAAGAAGTGAGGGATGAAGGAAGGAAGGAAGGAAGGAAGGAAGGAAAGACTATTTCCTATTTATCTTCAATCTAGCACATTTGCACATTACTGCTTGTCTCCCCATTAGACTGGGAGCTCCTTGAGAGCAGACGTTGTCTTTTGCCTTTTTTTGTACCCCCCTGCACTTAACACAATGCCGAGCACATCATAGACACTGAATGAATGCGTATTGACTAACTGATTGGCTGAATCCCCAAACTATACAAAGCAGCACCTCTTCACACCTATCACATTAATACATTCCTTGTAGACCCCTCTGTATAGTCTAACTTTATTCTCAATAGATGTGTTCTATCCTGAGGTTGGTAGACAGTTTCTGGGCTTTGAAGGGAGGTATCTGCAGGTGAAGAATGGGTGCAAGGAGCATAAGAGGGAGCAGCAGGAGCCAGAGAGAGCCAGGGATGGGGTGAGTGGTTGAAGAGCCTGGAGTGTATGGCTGTGGCCCCTGTTCTCCCTATGCCCAGCCAGATCTCCGTCCTCCTCCCTGATCAGGGACAAGGATGCTCCTTTCCTTGTGAAGGATGTTTCTATGACTGACCTTCTTCTACTTGAGGAAGGGGAGAGGACTCCCAAAGACCGATATGGAATGCCTTTTCCTGTGCCAGGACGGAGTGTGCAGGGCAGATTCTCCTGAGTTGGCATCATGTGTTTCAGGTGAGGAAGAGACTATTGCAATGGATGCCCAGATGGCAAGTGTGTTGAGGAATATCATTGGCATGTGGACAGTAACATGGTTATTCTCTACAACTTGGTTACTCACCCAGAGAGGTAAGTATGAGGAAAAGTCAGGGTAGGAAATTTGTTTTGAGCCCTATGGGCCAGTTTGAGCAGGGAAGATACAGGGATATGAGCACTGGGTACTTCCAGCCTTCCCCTAACCCTTTAACCCAACAATAGCGCCAGTAACCCTTATAATAAACACCATTTGGGGTTTTCTGGGGTGCTTTGTTTATAAGCTAATACAGACAGAAAAGTTAAAGGAGCACAAGATATATCTCAGTCTCAGAGCTCCTCTTTCCTCAGGGGTCTGTGACTGGGTTAAGGAAATTGTCCCTGAGTCCCTGGATCCTCCCACTAACACTTCTGTTCCTGAGGCTGGTGATCTCTACCCTCTTCTGGAATGTCCTCTGTATAAGAAAATGAGGGTGAAAATAAGTGGTAATGAGCTGTCTTTGGGAACCATGAGATCACAACAGATTCACATCTCTCCACTTCAGCACTTTCTTCAGCTGGAGAGTTGGGCCATTGGTCATCTTCCATGAGACAGATTTAGTTGGAGAAAACTCCTACTCCCAGTCTTTTGGGAGCTCCTGATCCCTTCAGTCAGAATTTATACTCCAGAAGGTAGGGGACAGTCTGAGTGGTTATGTCTTTGACCCTTCTGCTCTCTTTCAGAACGTCTTCAGAAAAAGAACTTTTGGTGGCACCTGTATGGGATCCTGACAGGGACTTTTCCATTGGAAATAGGTGTTTGTATTTGTTATTTGTGGACCCGGCACAGTTGCCCAGGTAATGTTGACCTGGAGCCGAGATGGGGGGGGAGGGTAATTGGACAATATTAAAGGGCAGTCCCCATAAAATACTCATTGGGTGTTAACTCCAAGTCCTCATTCTGTTCTTACTCCAATCTCTGGACGTCCTGACCCAAGTCCTTTCAAAGACAAGTGTGACTCACCCTAGGTTCTCACAGCAGCATGTGGATAGTTCTTCTTCACATGTGCAGTGGCCCAGAGATTTCTTGAGGAATTTAAGAGTGAGGAGATGGGAAGGTTCCTGAAGATGAAACGGGTTGTGTATAATTTGGTGTGTCAGGTAATCCAGAGGGGTGGAGAAAGTCAGCTATTGGCTGTAACTGGGATAGGAGAAGAGACAAGTGGTTCCAGCCTTCCTAGAGGAGAGCATGGGGAAGGGAATCTACAGTCTACCTGGGAACAGCTTCTAAGAGGTAACAAGCCTTGGTCTGCTCTGCAGGGTTTATTCTCGATGAGGACTGGAAGAACTGGCTTGTCTGGAGTGTCGTGTTGATCTTCTTCATATTCTTAATTGTGATAGCTATGGAACTTGAATATGGATTTTTTATCTTTTTTGTCATGATGCTGTTTTCAATGAATTTAGGTGATATTGAGAGCATCATCTTTCTGCTGCCTCTACTAAGGATGATTTTAACTATCATTTTTGAAATTTTTGTTTAAAGTTTTGAGTTCCAAATTCTATCTCTCCCTCACTCTCCCTTCCCCCCTTCCTTCTTCCCTGAGACTGTAAGCAATCAAATATAAGTTATACACGGACAATTATGTAAAATGTTTCTATATTAGTCATTTTGTACAAGAAAGCTAGAGTAAAAGAAAAAAATGAAATAAAAGTTACTTGCTTCAGTCTACATTCAATCAATATCAATTCTTTCTCTGGAGGCAGATAGCATGCTTCATCATTAGTCCTTTGGGCTCACCTTGGATCATTGTATTGTTGAGAATAGCTAAGTCATTCACAAGTCTAAGGATACTTTTCACCTGTATTCAGCCTATCCTCACAAAATAGTGATTCAGGTAATTGAGGTTTGTCTGGTAGACTGGCTGATAAATAGAAAATAATCAATCCCCAATCAAACTGGGGAAGAGGTTAAGGATAATACAGGGCTTAATCTGGAGGTTCAGTAATGCTCAGTTTGTGAGGGAATGAGGGGAATGGTCCCAAGGGGGAGGCTAACAAAGATGAAGCCAAGGAAAAGGGATAGCCCAAGGAATAAGGTAGGCCAGGAAGCTTAGGACTTGATTTTGATGCACCTAAGTAAGAAGCTGTGGGCTGTGACAAAAAGCAAGATCACAATCCCTTTTTTTTTCTCCATCTCTGATGTGTTTTGGGGTTGCTGGGAACCCTGATATGTCAGGGTACGGGGCAGCATCTACCTGGAATGAATTCACTACTCAAACCATGTTCAAATCAAGTGGCAAGGTTTATTGTAATGCTAATAGTAGCAGTCAAGGTTCCTAGTGAACCTGCAATTTAATGGGGGTGAGACTGATGCTTATATACAAAAAAGGATAATGAAAGGAATCTGGATGGGATTAAGGAATGGGAAGTAGTCTGGAATGGACCAGGTACAACTCTGAAAGAGATATCAAGTAGGCTAATTACTTAATCTAGGTGGGCTGGGGTGGGCCAGTTGCCTTGGGCAGAGATGCCAGTGATCTGGGCTGCTGAAATGTGTGGGAAAATTCAGGTACTGGGTTGCTTTCAAAGACATGATCTTTTCCTTTTAGGGGTCCAGGTCCTACTACCCCATCATTTCTACTCCCTCTCTCCATCATTTTTCTTTCTCTTTCTATACCCTCTTTCTTTTCTTCTTCTTGCTCACTCTCTCCTTCCTTCTATCTGAAGCTGGAACTAGCACCCAAATACTAGAACAGCACTCCTCACTCCTACATCCTTCCCAGGGAGGGGAGGGGTATTGCTTCCCACCTGTTGTCTTTTTTCTCTTCTAGTGCCAGCTGGTCCACAACCTCACCATTCCTCCATCCTCCAGTACTTCATGATAGTCATGTTCCTTCCCTAGGGAAGTTTCCCAAAGGAGAAGAGAGGATTCCACTTCTCTTTCCCTACCTCAAGGAAACTGCTAGCCTCAGGATGCATGCTTCTGTCACCAATCTATGTCAACAGTGCACAAGGCTGATTATACTCTAGACTTGACCTCCAAACAACATACACCTCATGCCCATGGAGGAGACAGTGCCAAAGGGAGAAAAGAGTGACACTAAGGACTATTGATTGTGACATGGGAGGATGCTGGCATTCTCTATAGTAATAGAGTAGGTTGGAAGAGGGGAGGGTTAAGAAGGAAAGAGAATGAATTCAGTTTTGCATATATTGTTTAAAATTTCCAGGGTACAGGAAGGGAAAGGACATCTATTATGTGTCTATTAGTCCCTACTGTGTGCCAAGCCTTGTGCTAAGCATCTTATAAATAACACCTCATCTGATCATAACAACTCTGTGAAGTAGGTGCTGTTAATATCCCCAGTGATTTCTTTCTTAAAGACCAAGCCTTTAAACTCAAATCACTCTGGATCTCATATATTGGCCAACAATAAGTCCCAGCCTAAACTTCACTTGGTCATTGTTTGGGGCCTGATGGCTCAGAGTGAGTGTAAATGCCAATTGTTTCTGTTTTGGCCAGAAACCCTGGATGTCTTCCTCTCCCAGATTAATTTTTTTAACTAGGTAAAAGAGGCCATTCTTTGCTTCATTGCTTACCTAGCTCTAATCACTGAATGGGCACTGCCTCAGTCAAAAGGAGACCTGAGAAAGTCCTTAATTTAAAAAGGCCAAGGTCCTCCACTGCATCAGGAGCAGTCTCCAATCCTCCTGACTTATATCTTGCCACTGGAGCCAGATGGTACAGGAGGAGAGAGTGAGGCTGATGACTTTGCACAGCCCGCCTTCACTTAAATCCAATTCACTTATAAGTCACGGCATCACCTTCCCAATGTCATGGTCCTCTTTAAGAATGAAGGACAAACAACAACCTAACAACTTTCCAAGTAACTACTCTTGGTTTCCTTCCATTGCTTCTTCTTTCTCTCTTGATGTCTTCACTAATCCATATGGAGCCATTTTTTTGCTGCTTCTAAGACTTCAGACAATTAGAGAAGACAATCTTTGGAGTCCTTACGACCCAGAAGGCTTACAAGGCCATGTGACTGCTTATACTTCACAAGATATCTTGGGGTTTGGGGGTTTCACTTATTTTTCCCTTCTTCCCTATTTATTTATCTTTTTTTTTAAACTGGGACAATTAACTCTTTTGTCTCCTGTAATTTTCATTTATGATTTTTTGAAATACAGCTCTGGTAAACCAGTCTTTGATAAATCCCATTGGGACTCAAATAGAACTACTTGACCATGCCTTTGAACCCAAATCACTCTGGCTCTCATTGATTGACCAAGAATAGGTCCCAGCACAAGCCTCACTTGCCCATTGTTTGGGTTTTGATGGCTCAGAGTGAGTGTAAATAGCAATTGCTTCTGTTCTGCCCAGAAACTCTGTGGATCTTCTCTTCCCACATTGATTCTTTTGAGAGGTCATACACACACACACACACACACACACACACACACGTTTTGCAATGCAGTGACACTGGCCTCCTTGCTTTCCCTCAAATGAGACATTCCATCTTCTGACTCCAGGAATTTTCTCTGGCTGTCTGTATGCCTGGGGTGCTCACTCTCATCTCTACCTCCTGGCTTTCCTGACTTCCTTCAAGTGTCAGTTGAAAACTCTGCCTTCTACAGGAAGCCTTTCTCTATCCCCCTTAATTCTAATGGCTTCCCTCTATTGATTATTTCTCATTTATTATGGATATAATTATTTTTATGTTGTCTCCCCCATTAGGCTATGAAGTCCTTGACAGCAGGAACTTTTACCTTCCCTTGTATCCCCAGTGCTCAGCACAATGTCTAACACATGGTAGGTACTTAAGAAATGTTTCTTGACAGACAGATGGGATACTGCAGTCTTTTGAAAAGATGTCTCATGTATGTGCTTGAGGCTCTCAAAAGACTCCTTGGCTTAAGTAGAGTGCCACCAAGTAGATAATTCAGATAGGACACTCCCTCATTGTGTAAGATCATACCACATGACATTACTGAAGGTTTAAGGAAGGTAGCACAAGAGCCAATTTGGAATGTTTACAAGGCAGCGCCACCACTGTAGTGTCCCAAGCATCATACTGTGTTGATGATAGAGTGTTGGGGTGATGGAACCTGTATCCCTAAAAGGAAAAGACCATGTCTTTGAAAGCAACCCAGTCCTTGAACTTTCACACACAGCCCAGATCACTGACCCAGACTATCCCACCTACTCAATAATCCTTTTAACAGCCCTTTCACTGTGGCTCTCTGAGCATTTAACTCCTTTCATTGTCTATACCTGGCCCACTCCAGGCTACTTACCACTCCCATCAAGATCTTTTCACTGACCCTTTTTCCCTTTTTTTGTATATAAATATCAGTCCCATCCTCTTCAAATTCGTAAATTTATTAGGAATCTGACTGCCATACTGGTGTTACAATAAGCTTCACTACTTTGACTGAAAGAAGGCTTTAGTGATTGAATTCATTCCAGGCAGACTGACCCTGTGTCCTTACAATTTGGGATCTCTAGCACCTGAAACCACAACAGTGGTGCTGGGGAAAATGTTTACATTTGATAGCTTTTTTCTGTGCCCTTGTCCACTTGGGTGGGTGAGTGGGGATAGAAAAGGGGAATATCTTATTAGCTAAGGGTTTCTATAATACCAGGGGTATAATATAAGTAGAGCATACAAAGCTTTCCCGATGCCTGAGAATTATTAGGCATCAAGCAAACTACTTGAGCATTTAATTCCATTCTGACACATTCTGATTGTCTATGATTGAACCTAGGATGGAAGAATGGATGAAGAACCTCTATCCTGTGTGATATGGAACAGTCTGGAGGTATTTTAGTGAAAGAGGCCATTCTTAAGATTATAGAGCTTAGAGCTTAAAGGACCTCACCCTCAGTTATACAAATAAGAAAATAGAGATTCAGGGAGGTTAAGTACATAAATAGGTAAGCATCAGAGATGACACTTAAACCCAGGCCCTCTGACTCATTCCACTGTACTTCTTGAGTAATCATTCCATGTCACCAGAGAATTACTAAGGAGGCAAAAAAAGACATGAATTCTAACTAGACAAAATAGCTAGGAACTCAAATATCATCTAGTCTGTGTATGTTTCTTTTGGGTGCAATTCCAATAACCTTCTTCTAGTATATTATGTATGATTTCTTATACTTATCACTCAGGAAAAAAATCACATAGGTCATCTGGAATGTGAAGAGACAATGAAGAGAAGTGAAATAGGGAGTAGATACCAGACTATGCCATTCATTTATGAGTTACCATGGCAATGGCAGAAGAGCAAAGGTTATAAGAATGGGTATGGCTGATATCTGAGTCCTGGGTGCCTAGGAAGCTCAAGGCTTGGAAGATTAGTGACTGTGGACTTTAAGGTAGAATTCAGGTATAAGAGAAATTAATGAAATGCGAAAACCTTTCAAGACGAAGGCCCACCAGGATGAGTTCTGAGAAGGAGCTCTGCTATCTGTCACCCATTCCATATCTCTCAGATTGTCCACAAAGAATCATGGTGCACTTGGTCAAATGTTTGGATGAAATCCAGGTTTGCTACATGCAGGATAACATTATCCAAACAGCAAATGAAGA